GTAAATCAAGTGGCCGCATCTCAGTTCCCACTGGATACAATTTTTTAACAATTCTTGGAACAATTGATCTCCTGCTCCCTCACGAAACATCTTTTTTACTTTGTTCCTGGGACTCTATTCTCTTTTGCCTCTCATGCTATCTTAATGCCTAATCTGAGTGTAATTTTCTGAATTATCCTCATTCATGTTCCAAATTTCTGGGCACTGTAATGCTCCAGGGCTCAAATCTCAGACTTCTTCTATTTTCCACACATATTTATCTTTATCAGATACCATGGCTTTCAGTATTAGCTACACTGTGATGAATCCCAAATTAATATCTTCAGCTCCAACTTACAGATTTTACCTCTGAACCTGATCAACAAGTTGTCTTATGCAGCTAACTCCACATTTTTTTGCTTGGAAGCCTAATAGGTATCTCTAACTTAGCAGACACAAAACTGAACTTTTGATCTCTCCCCCACCCCAAACTTATTCCTCCCATGACCTCCCTAGGACAGTAAATGACAACTGCATTCTTAGTTATTCAGACCTCAAAACGTGGGGTCATCTTTGACTCCTCTTTCTTTTGCACACCGTATCCAATTCTTCAGTGAATACTGTCAACTCTATTTTTAAATATATGTCCTGAGTCTAATCCCTTTTTACCACTGTGGCTGCTCCCATGCCATTTTATGCCACCATTATATCCCATGCTCATTTTGCAGTGACCTCTTAGTCCCCCTATGACCACTCTTGCCCCATTGCAGACTAATTTCCATAATGTAGCAGAGATGTCTTTAAAATATGTCAGATCATACCCTCCTGTCTCAAAATGTTTCAAATAGCTTCTCATCTCACCCAGAATAAAATCTGAGGTACTAAGTTCTCAGTGCCCTGCATGATCCGGCCCAGTACTGCCTCCTGACTTCTTCCACCACTCGGTTGCCCTCTCTGCTCCAGTCACACTCTCTTTCTTGCTCTTCTTCAACATCACCAAGCAAGGTCCCATCTCAAAGCCTTTGCATGTGTAGTTTCTTTTGCCAGTGACAGCCTTCTCAGATTGCCACATAGTTCCTTCTTTTACTTTATTTAGCTCTCCACTTCAATTTTATTTTTTTAGAAAGACTTTCCCCTGACCATCTAAGCTCTTTAACCCTTATTTTGCTTTACTTCTATCCTTTATATCTCTTACCAACAATATAATATAGTTTATATTTCTTTATTTTATTGCCCTATTCCTTCCCTCTGCAGGCCTAAAATGCAAGATCTGTGAGGGTAAAAACTTAATCAGTGTTGCTCAATGTCTTTTATCCCAGAACCTCAAATTCCTTGAACATAGTAGGTGCTTAATAAATATTTTAATAAATTAAAAATGGAAATGGAGCTCACCTTGGGATGATGAATAAAAGTCTGTACTTGGAAACCTTGAGATCACCTGCGAAACCAAGTCATCTACATGTGTCCAGTGGTGTCAAACTGACTAAAGTGAGACCCCTAGTATATAACACAAACTCGGAATGAATGGAAAAAAAATAGTGAACCATGGCTAAGGTCCCTGGCAACTATCCACAGAAGGTACAACATGAGCCAACTTGGTGTCTGTGTGTGACATTAATCCATGTTTCTTCTTCCAGAAAAAGGAAACACTTCCACATAAAGCAAATGAGGCAAAAAAAAAAAAAAAAAAGGACAAGTTATAAATTAAATTAGTGGCATTCTCACTGGTTTATCGTTCGATAGAGAAAGGACATTAGGCTGGACCTGAATGAGGTCACTTTAGGTATTTTTAAAGTATTTTTCTAATTCTGTATTTCTCTGAATAGTTTTCTAGTAGACTACATCAACCTATAATCATTTTCTTTTTAAAACCCAAATCTTGGATGTACAATTTGACAAATACAAATGTGCTTGTGGAGACACAAGGACAAAGTATGAAAATTGGCACTGGCTTAAAAAATATAGGATATTTAGGAACAGAGTATATGCTTCTGAAATGTCAAAATGCAAAACTCCTCAAAATAATTATCTTTACTCACTATTTTCACTTCTTCTCCAATCTCTATTGAACTTCTTTTTTTTTCTATTGAACCCTTTCACCCATTAAATTAGTATTCCTCTAAGCAGCCCTTGTCAAAGTCACCAATGACCTTCATATTGGTAAATCAAGTGGCCGCATCTCAGTTCCCACTGGATACAATTTTTTAACAATTCTTGGAACAATTGATCTCCTGCTCCCTCACGAAACATCTTTTTTACTTTGTTCCTGGGACTCTATTCTCTTTTGCCTCTCATGCTATCTTAATGCCTAATCTGAGTGTAATTTTCTGAATTATCCTCATTCATGTTCCAAATTTCTGGGCACTGTAATGCTCCAGGGCTCAAATCTCAGACTTCTTCTATTTTCCACACATATTTATCTTTATCAGATACCATGGCTTTCAGTATTAGCTACACTGTGATGAATCCCAAATTAATATCTTCAGCTCCAACTTACAGATTTTACCTCTGAACCTGATCAACAAGTTGTCTTATGCAGCTAACTCCACATTTTTTTGCTTGGAAGCCTAATAGGTATCTCTAACTTAGCAGACACAAAACTGAACTTTTGATCTCTCCCCCACCCCAAACTTATTCCTCCCATGACCTCCCTAGGACAGTAAATGACAACTGCATTCTTAGTTATTCAGACCTCAAAACGTGGGGTCATCTTTGACTCCTCTTTCTTTTGCACACCGTATCCAATTCTTCAGTGAATACTGTCAACTCTATTTTTAAATATATGTCCTGAGTCTAATCCCTTTTTACCACTGTGGCTGCTCCCATGCCATTTTATGCCACCATTATATCCCATGCTCATTTTGCAGTGACCTCTTAGTCCCCCTATGACCACTCTTGCCCCATTGCAGACTAATTTCCATAATGTAGCAGAGATGTCTTTAAAATATGTCAGATCATACCCTCCTGTCTCAAAATGTTTCAAATAGCTTCTCATCTCACCCAGAATAAAATCTGAGGTACTAAGTTCTCAGTGCCCTGCATGATCCGGCCCAGTACTGCCTCCTGACTTCTTCCACCACTCGGTTGCCCTCTCTGCTCCAGTCACACTCTCTTTCTTGCTCTTCTTCAACATCACCAAGCAAGGTCCCATCTCAAAGCCTTTGCATGTGTAGTTTCTTTTGCCAGTGACAGCCTTCTCAGATTGCCACATAGTTCCTTCTTTTACTTTATTTAGCTCTCCACTTCAATTTTATTTTTTTAGAAAGACTTTCCCCTGACCATCTAAGCTCTTTAACCCTTATTTTGCTTTACTTCTATCCTTTATATCTCTTACCAACAATATAATATAGTTTCATAGGTGACAAAAATTTTTCAAATAGTTGTTTGGGAAGAAGAGAGAAACATTTTACTAACAAGGTGAACATGTATTTAGAGATGATATGCAAAATCCAGGAAGACTCAATTTCTTGAAGCCATGAACTGTTTCCTATTCAACAATGAATCCATTGCACTTAACACACCAGGTTAAGTACTAAAACTTGCTGATATTTGTTGAGTGTTCACTATGTTCTATTAGTTTTAATTATATTCCATTACACTGAAAATAAAACAATTCTGGGCCTGGCCAGTTAGTTCAGTTGGTTAGAGCATGGTGTTGATAACACCAAGGTCAAGGGTTCAGATCCCTACGCTGGCCAGCTGCCAAAAAAAGGTAAATAAATAAATAAAACATTTCTTTGAAGATAATACCATTATTATCCCCATTTTATTTGAGAAGAAACTGAGGTTTAAGGAGATGAACTAATTTAAGTTAGGTTTAAGGAGATGAACTAATGAAGTTGGGTCCCAGGTAAAGAAACCCAATCCCAGCACCTACCATAAAAACCCACTTTGTGGTGTCATTCTTTAAAATGTTTGCTAAGGTGAAAGAAAAAAGGGGGGGGGGAGGCTGGGTCACCTAGAAGACTTTATGATCACATACTTGTATCTTTTTCAATTAATAATAAAACCTATAATTTAGAGCTGATTTTAACCCAGGAAGCAAAAAATAATTATTTTATAGCTGAAGACCATCTTGCTCATATCAGTTCGCCTAGAGGCTATTTACATCTTACTCTCTGAATCGATACACATAGGGAATGACATCACAGCTGACAGAAACCTTCTGCAGTATCATATCACCATTATCATCTCTTTTCTGATAAGACACATCAGTCCTGTTGCTCAGTCCTCATCCATTTTTATTCCTAGCCTTGATCTTTTTTGTGAGAACACACACCATCACACACCATTTTCTAGACCATTTATGTATGGTTGGGAGAGAACTTACATGAAAGGATAATCTTGAGTGAGGATGCTCACTAATTATTTTAACCAGAGATGAAAAAGATTAGATGATACACCTAAATGGCAGCAGGAAAGTCTTAGTTTATATAGAGGTAAGGGAATGGAATATATTCTGTGAAAAAACTTTGAAATGAATTAGTAAATTTTACTTAAGAAGTTCTTTGAGATTAGGACATATTACTGATCTCCAGAACTTTCATCTCATGATATTTACTCTTCACAACCATCAACTTGAGGATGTCCATAAATATGAGCCACAAAATTTTGTTTGAAGTAGGTCTTGGATCTCCTTAACGTTGTCTCCCATAATCCCTGACCTATAATTTTTGCAGAAGCTGAGTAGACAGTTCCAATGACATGTAATTTAAAGGCATTTGACAGCATTAAACTAAATGTGAAGATGGTTCAGTCATCTCTTAATTTTCTAAAAGGCCTAATAGGGTAAAACAGACACAATTTTCACTAAGAATTTACATAACCATGTAGACACACCGATGCAGAATTAAAACAGATATCCACCTGAGAATTCAAGAAATGTACTACCTTTCCCCAAACCAACAATTTTCACTAAGAATTTACATAACCATGTAGTCACACCAATGCAGAATTAAAACAGATATCCACCTGAGAATTCAAGAAATGTACTACCTTTCCCCAAACCGGTAAGAATCCGATTACCACAAGGATGGATAGTTACCCATGGCGAAGAATGGGATTCCCAGCAGGGTGGAGTTGTACTTTCCATCTGTGATGAAGAAGATTCCTGCTGCTGTGATGAGGGAGATGCACACTGTGAGTACCCCCAGGAGGCCCAGGATGGGCTTACTGCGCAAGCAGTCCTTCATGGAGCTGGAGAGGGTGGCTGTGGTCAGGATCAGCACAAGGCTCACCAGGACTTTGCTTCTGGCCAGGATGCTGGTCTTATGAAAGTCTCTCCAGAGGCTAAAGGATGCTAAAGAGTACAGCTGGAGGTCTTTATGTTCCTCCTGGAGCTTCCTCATAAGCTTACAAAATTCATTCTCCCACTTCTCCCCTATGAGGTCTTGGGTGGCAGAGCCATAGGTCTGGAGGTAGTAGGTGATTTGAATGGCTCTGGCTGACTTGACCCGCTGGTCCTTGCTGTTTGGTACTTCCACTACCCCGCCCAGTTGGTGTCCAATAAAACTGTTCCTCCCATCCTTGAAAACAGAAAAAGGGAAGACTTATGTTACCAGAAGGATGCACATGCCTGGGAACAGATTCTTACTCTAAGTGAAGAAGCACAAGAAAGGCAGAGATAGGCACCAATAACTGTGGAACTGGTGTGGGTGGAGAGGCAAGTTAGAATTTTATTTTCAACTTTTTGGAGCTACATGGGACACCATGCATGATGTTCAGGATTAGAAGAGATGCAAAGAGTGTTACAAAGCTACACGAGACTAGCCACATGCATAGGAAAATGTACATAGACATTATTTTGGTCTCACCCATACCATCATTCCCACCACTATCTTTTGTAAAAATCTACTATAAATCCTTAATGCAAGATCAAGTTTTATGATCCAGTTTCAGCCAAAAGTGAAGCATAGCATGAGCTAACAACATTTCAAAAATTAAAATAATTATCCAATGTAAATATAAGCTAAACTTTCTAAGGTTAACACACAGACATACCTACACCAACACACATACGAACACACACAAACACAGGTGTCCTTGCTCCTTTATATTCTGGGGTCAGAATTGTGTATTGCAGGGCAGTGCAAAAAATACTGTTTCCTACAATTAGTTTAATGATGTCAAAATGCTTCCTAAATATGATTGAGGACTTGTTCACTCATTACAATATTCCCTCCAAACACTCGCTTCAGGCATAGGTTAGCTTTTTCCTACAGATGGCAATGGACAAACCCCCCAGGTGAGACTGATAAAATTGTCAGACTGAGTTGCCAAAAAGTTATTTCAATTTCAGAGTTTGACATGACGTAGGGTAGGCAAGATCATAAGAAGAGGAGATTGGTAAGAGAAGCAACCACTCCTCTTTAAGGCACACATAGGTGGACGCAGAGTTACTTAAACAGGTTTAGAGCAGTAATTCTCATCTGGAAATCCCTAAAAGCTGTCACAAAATTTTAATCAATTTGGAAATTTTATTTTTGCCACAACTGTCATGTACTTCAATGACAATGGTTGTCAGAATACTGAACCCAACAGCAAGTTGCAAGATGGAGTATTACACTGAAAATATGTTGCAAGTACTGGGGGAGAAGCAGGCACACAGGTAAATTTATGCCACAAGTGGCCTGTGTGTTTGCTGAAGCAGGCAAAATGTTTATCTCACAAGGATATGAAAAAGTAAAGTCAGGGCAGGGAGCAGTTCTTTCTAGAGGCAGTAATATAAAAGAGCAGCAAATCCAATAGTGTGATAACCATGGGTGTTTTCATAGAACTGTGAGGCACTATATATTCTAGTAGACACGTGCAACATCTATTATGGATTTGTTTAGCCCAGATACCTATATATAAAGCACTTGTTTGTATTTGTATTTTTAAAATGCACCAAAGAAAACCTAATACTTGAGGGTGTGTTGCAAACACAAAAAGTTTAAGAACTTTACAGAGAGTACAAACACACTTAGGAGAATCATCAAGAATTGCAAAAGAGAAATTTTGTAGTCACTCCATATATTAATTTTCCCCTACATGTTAAATAAATACAATTATTCTATTTAACTCAACCTAAACAATATATTTCTTAAGAATTTGATTTGTGGGTTTTTTCTTCTTGGCATATCTCCCACTTCCATGGCAACTTTGTAATTTTCCCATCTCAAATCAAACTCCAATTTTGGCTGTAGGTTCCCAAGGCTTTCTCTTGATTAAACCCTGTGGGGTGCTCCAGTGAGCTTCAGTGGAAATGTAGCAAGCTTTGGGAATCCTGTCACTGGCCTGAGAAGTTGTGGAATACAGTTTCTACTGTTTCAGTAGATCTAATTTGCTCCTCAACTGGCTCGTTTATTTTTGCTTTAAGCTTGGTATATTTTTTAGGTCCATCTTTGTTACTACTTCTTTGAAATCCCATCTTTGATGTTGACTTGTGTTTCTGATTATTTGAAAGAGAAATTTTTTTTTCCTTTTTGTCTTTTTTCGTGACCGGCAACGGATCGCAACCCTCAGTGTCGCGCCCGTACCGGACCGGGACCGGCAACGGAATCGCAACCCTCGGTGTTGCGCCCGCACCTCGCTCAGCCAGTGAGCGGCCAGTCTGTATGTGGGATCCGAACCCTCGGCGGGAGCGGTGCACTGTAGCAGTGCGCCACCAGGCCGGCCCCGAAAGAGAAATATTTTAAAAGTCATATTTACTTAAGAATATGCAGCTCTGTGTGTCTCTACTCATTTCTGTCAACAAAAATATTTCTGATGATTCTTTAGCAGCAACATAAAGATTTTTGTGTCTCTCAGGCCTAATTTGGAGATTATAGTGGATCCAAGAGGGTGCTGACATAGTGTCTGGGCAAAAAAGCCAAAATTTTTAAAAAGGCAAATATAGATTTTTAAATAACAGTTCATCACTGGGATTGGCTAGCTGCTAATCCTTTTAAAGTTGTCTCATTTCCATTTTTACAAAAACATATTATAAAAGATATGCTTTCATCCTATCTTTTCCCATTATATTTAAATCAATGTAACAAATGAAATAAATTTCTCACTCATATTCTGTTCCACCTTATGTACCAGAACAAAATAGATGAGGTGTTTGGACGTCTTGATATTGAAAGCTTCATTGAAAGATCCACATCTTGTATATGTAGTTGGCCCAATCACTCTATTCACTGTAGTCCTGAGAAATACACTTTAATACTTGTATGGGAACATGCTACTATTTTGTAAGGGGTGGTAGAAGAGTTCATTAGTTTCATTAGTTTCCCCAAATAACCAATTCATAGATGCTTTTAATACAGGAGAAACAAAGAATGAATATAACAAATATTGTGATTATCCTCTGGGTGGAACTTCCTGGAGTTGTAAGATGTCCAGTAGGATTAGTGGAGAGAATGCTGTCATTAGGAGTCATGTGACCTGAGTTGTAGCAAGCAGGTCACACTAATTGGATAATAAACCCATTTCCCATTCTAGGTTTCAGTGTTTTCATCTATAAAATCAGCAGATATGAGGATATGAATAAATGTTTGCATGATATTTAAGTAATTTTTCAGCTCTATTATTCTATAAAAATAAATACCATCTATAAAGTTACTCCAAAGCAATCTGAATGTCAGAAAGATATCATTTTAACTAATAGAGCCATGAATTCATGATTTTTACATCCGATCAAGATCTTACCTATTACAGGGTAGAGCTGTTTTGCTTAATCGATGAGCAAAGCTCGAGTCTCAAAGAAGGTCAAAGACATGAACTCAGGGTTCCAACTAGACCTTCTGATTCCAAGTCCAGTTCTAGAATCCTATGAGAGTGATTTGAGGGAAGCCACTTTGGCTACTGTGCCCCACTAACTGCTCTTTTTGATTAAAACTTATTTCTCTTGCAGATTCCCTTTCCCAGAATTTTCCTTTCCACTAAAGCAATTGTCCACCATTTAACACATATATTGATTTAACTTCTTTGTTTCCCAAAAAACCTCCCACACAAATTTTGAAATTCTTTTAAGTGAACATATCACCCTTTATGTCCCAATGACAATAAATCTTTGAATAAAAATATGACAAGATGATAACATGTTTTCAGTGCTCTCCTGTTTCTATGCTTCACTGAACTGAATTGACATTATTAACAAGAGATGACTTTAAGACCCTAGAACATATCCCGTCTATTTTTCTACTTCAATCTATTTTCCGCTCTGAAGCCAGAACCTAAGAAAATGTCAGCTGAGGTGTCTCTGGTAGGTAAATTGTTCCAAGGTGAATCAATGGAATAACAGGTCATGATGCTATCTTATGGCTATAAAGCATTTCATCACATTGTCTCTTCAGCAGCATGAATGCTGGGGAAATTTTAATTCCTGCATTTTTAACTCTTACTTAGTTTAAAGTCACTTCTTTGTAGCTTTTTAAAAATTGCTCCCACCCAGTCAACATCTCTGCAATGGAAAGGAAATTGAACTCTCAGAGATAAGATCAAAGAATAAATTCTTAATGTGATAGGAGAGGATGGAAACATTAATGTCATACACAATAGTGCAAAGATAAAAATTACTTGATGATGCTTTGGAATTACAAGGGAGCAAGTGTAATATTTACTCAATATACATATACTCAGTTGACATTCAGACACTTTCTGTGACTGTAAGATAATATGTTAACACAGCTCCTGTGCGAAACAATTGTAATTAAGATTTCATCAATTTTCAACAAGGCAGACACTGAGAAGGTATTGGAAACTTTTAGATGGTCAGTTGTCTTTTATCGCTGAAAAGAAAATCTTCCTGTGTATGGTGACATTTCTAAAGGAGTGTAAGATTTGGTTTGTTTGTTTCAACAAGATTTTCCCTCATATTTATTTCCTAACTTATACCTCTTTGTTTTATTCCCAACATCAAGTGTGTGCAGAAACTAGAATTAAATGAAAACATGAGTTACCTTGATTTTCCACTCCAGAGCTTCATGTTCAGTAGAAATGAGCAAATAATGAGAAAGCAAGTTTCTACAAGGTATTTATTTTTTAAAAAAATAATCAAAAGTCATTCTCAAGATGACTTTAAGCATTTAAACGCTTTCAGTAAAAAAATTAAATTAATTTTGTTAATGTTACTAAGCTGGGAATTTGCAGTGGTGTATTTCAGATTTTTTTCAAAGAGGAAGATTAAAAGACATGGTTTCTGTGTGGTGGAAATAAAATAAAAACTTTAGCCAAGTAGAATATAAAATAACTTGGGCCAACCCTGTGGCTCACTCGGGAGAGTGCGATGCTGGTAGCACAGAGGCTGAGGGTTTGGATCCTATATAGGGATGGCCGGTGCGCTCACTGGCTGAGCGTGGTGCAGATAACACCGTGCTGAGGGTGCAATCCCCTTACGGGTCAGGAAAAAAAAAAAAAAAAATATATATATATATATTTATATAAGTTTAACAGAGAACTGCAGCGTTATCAATTAACTGAGGCTTGGCTGTAAATTTTTAACACCTGTGGCTGACTCTGTTCTAAGACTTAAGAACTTTATTTGCATTATCCTAGGCAACTC